CGCATCCATAATCTCTACCCTTACTCCATTCATTCGTTCCTCAACCATTTGAGCTCCGGGTAACTTTAGGAGGCAGTCGCAGCAGGAGGTGGCCCGGGTTCCTCCTCCACCCGTTCACCCTGCATTTAGTTGGCAGTGCGTCACTAGCACATGACACCAGTGTACCCCAGGAGGGAATGATATGAATTTAGACAGCACATGCACAGGCCTAATTCAAGTACAGGCCATAACATTATCCACACAAGTACGAAAACTTTCCTTTAACCTCACCAGGGCAAAGGCAAGATCCACAATCATCTGTGCACACACACAGGAGCTGTTATGAGGCTATAATTAACCTTCATGTGAGTCCCTCTAAAGCCCACTGTGATGGAAAATGTGGTCACACATCTTGAGTCTATAGTTGTGTTGGACTACTGAACTCTTCCACCCTCCTGTTTAAAAGTACAGCTCAGACTGGAACAATTTCACGCTCAATACGCCTCAAATTCAGCCCTGAATGCACGAGATCAACCTCGCAATCAGCCTCCCCGAATAAAGCTTTAAATTGATAATTTAAATCCCAGATCACTTTTTACTGAGCAACGTTTCTTGTACCTCTGGGCAACGGACCGTCATTAAAACAAAGAAAAACACATCCAGGGAGCATTTTTTTCCCTCCAGTCTGTCCATCAGTGTAGACACTTTTATTTGAAACGTTTCAGAACTCCACAGGAAAACTTTTCAAACACTTTTCCAGGCAACATGTTCTTCCAGGCCACATTCTTAAAAAAAGAAGAAATGCAGACCTGGAGTCTTACAGAGAAACAAACATCAAAAAAATGGATGGAATTTATTCAGTGTTTCTTACAGTAGAATGAACAACGTATAAAGGAGGTGGGGAGGAAGAAAAGGAGGCGGAGGTCACAGTCAATACTAAATTAATTAATACTAAATTAATACTAAAAGGGACAATGACGGGGGTCGATAGCAGCCATATGAGGAGGTGGGTTTTTTTTTCTTTTTGGCCTGTTTTGAAGAAGTGTTAAGGAGTCTGGGATGCGGGATTTTAGTTGATGCAGGTAGCTGCTGAAATGTTGTGGGATTTCTTTTTCTTTACTCTGCCTTCTCGTAGCGACGCTCGCAAACAACATCTCCGAGTTTGAGTGTCTGTTTGAAGAGAGAAGAGAAGTTACATACACATACATACAGAAGTTACATTTGAAATATCAATTTTTTTGGGGGGGGTGAGGTTACTGACCAGCAAGAGAACGTTGCCGTTGACTTGCCTGACCAGGCTGGTCTCCTTTTCGTCCCACCGCTGAATGTGCACCAGCTTCCCGTCCTCTATCTTGACAATAGACTGGCGGGGAGCAGAAACGAGAGTCAGACACACATCCAGCGAGTGAGTGAGGATCATTTAAATCAGTGGTTCGGCTTTCTGTTATTTCATCCGTGCGCTTCACCTTTGCGCAGACATCTTTATAGGCAGCTACTGCACTTTTCCCATCTCATGGCAAGCTTGTAAAAAATATAATAATAATAATAAGTAAAAGTTACATATTAAAGAATGCAACGCAAAGGAACTGTGCAATCAGAGAGGACGACAACGACTTGTTGGGTAATTCATGTGCTCGTGCAACAGCCCACAGAGACATCAGTCTGAATGTGAGCTCGCAATAGCCACAGCTTCTTGCCATCAGCAAACACTCTGTGGTGTATATGTAGTTAAAGTTTATGCTCCTTGCTCCTTTCCCCCGTAACGTTCCCTTTAAACGCTACCGTGCACTCAACTTTATCTCTTTCCCAAAGCTTTATGTCATCCCATCACGACTGTTTCCACGGCGATCCATCAGCCTGTGCACTTTAATTATCACACCATATTTCTGTATGGTTACTTCTCCAGTGTGCAGGGAGGTTCCAGCAGACTTCTGCTTACCTCATACGAAGCCTGCTTAAAACCTCTTTCATAAAAGTCTAAATGCAAGGTTTTGCATTGTACAAATTGGACCTTTGACCTCTCACCTTGACCTTCCTGTCGTCGGCGGTTGTCTCGTCGAACTCCACTCCCAGCTTGAAGCTGAGCTCTGTGTTTTTCATGGTACTCTGGGTCTTCAGCGTCACCGTGTC